ATTCATGAATTCATAAGCTTCAGCAAGTTCTCTTAAAGCTTTAGAAAATGTGAGAATTCAGGTTCCTTAGCAAATTCTAAATAAAACAATGGAGATCTGAGGAAATTTAGCTCTACATAAGTTTAGGATCTTTATCAATTTTGTTGAAAGATAACAAATAATATCTTATAACGTATCAAAGACTTAAAAAGAATGCACATATTAAGGGTTTATAGAGATTTGTAGTGTACTAAGCCACTGCTTCCCATTAAAAATGACAAACCAAAACTCTACAAAAACTCTATCTTCCATTAAAGCAAAGACAGTGGCAAGTTTAGATCCTTTTGTTATAACAGGATCTACGTGTTTTTCTTTTTCGCGTACCACACGACATAGCAAAGATTTCAAAAAAAAACAATATTTTTATATATGAAATAAGTTACAGATCACAGAAATAGAGATAATGGAATACTCTAGACAGTCATGAATGATGAACTAAAAATAAATTTTATTTAATGTAAGAGTGGGAATATGTTGTTTTCATAGTTTAAGCAACCTCTTTTAAAGCATTAGAAAATGAGATAGCAAATTCTAAATAAAACAAAGGAGATTTAAGGAAATTCAACATTATTTTATAAGTTCTAGACAATCATAAAAGATTCTTCTTCTTATTCTTCTTCTTCCTCCTCCTCCTTGTATGGATGTTGGCTGTTTGTTTCAGCTATTCTGAATAGCTATTTAGCAAGTTGTGTTGGCTGATCCTTAAGAATATTTGGTAAAAAAACTATTTGAAAATAGTTTTTCTGTAATCTTAAGGTCCACACGTAAAATATGAATGTTCTCAAACTTTTCATGGACTAGGAGTGGAACTTATCTTTTTCTGCCAAAATCCCAATTCTTTCTCAATATGAATGCACCAAGGCCCATAAAACGAGCATGTACCTAGGACCATAGAAGAATTTGCCTTTAATAATTTAGATCTATTTTATTTGTATATTTTTATGTACTCCCTCCTTTCACAAAACAGTTTCTCTTTCACTCTTTTCTCAACCCACAAACACTTCGATTTTCCAATAAAAATCATTTTTATCCATACGAATTATTTCTATACACATCGCATAATCGTTATTTACTATTAATCTACATATCACATCCTATTTTTAATCATCATATCTAAAAATAAAAGTGAAATTTACACTAAATAGTACTAAAACATATATCATTTTCCAATTTAGTATTTAAATTTTTTTATTCCCTAAAGAGTACTTGAATAATGTCTAGTGGCGGAAACAATGTCTAGTGATGGTTTAGTACTATTTAAATAAATTTCTCAAAATAAAATTGAAAAGTCAAAGACAAAATATGTTTTCCTAACATTTCTCAAAAATCCAAACGAGAATCTTTTTAGAAATGGAGAAAGTATTATATACGGAGTATTACATTTAAAAAATAAAGTTATGCCATCAACAATTTTGTAAAATTTTGTGTCTAATTTTTATTTTTTATTTTTTTACAAATATTCAGATAGATTCATTAAAAAGTCCAATCAAATATCATAAATTGGAATGAGATAATAATAGGGGGACGAAAAACGAAAGAAAGAAAATTGAATAGGATCCCACTTGGATCATCGTGTTTATCTTCTTTAGCTCTCCATTTTTTTTCTTTTACTTTAATTTACACTCGGTCCCCAACAGAATGTCACAGTTTGACATTTTCAATCAAATTATGGCACCTTTTAACTAAAAATTTTAGAAAAAGTATATATATAGTTATAATATAAATTTAGTGAAATGAGATTTATTTTAAAATATAATTTTAAAATGTCAAATTTTTATAATATTTAATTATTTTAAACTATATCTAATTCGTGGTTAAAGGGCATTACAATTTAATAAAAAAATCAAATTTTGGCAATCTTTTAAGGAGGGATGAAGTACTTTTTTAAGGGTATGGAAAACGATTTTTCTTTTGCTAGGTTATTTTTAGAAATCTTGAAGGAAAAAAATTTAAATAAGACTAAAACATAGAAAATATACCTAAATAGAAGTTCAAAACATAAATTCTCCAAATAGGAGTAACTTTGCATCACCATACCCAAAATACCCCTCTACATTTGTGACACAGACCCATTTTTTTCCTCACTAGTCGCGCTACATGTCCACAAGACCATAAGTATTTGAACCACATGTCCACTTGTTCACATGTCACATTACTACAGTACAAACTCTTATTTTGGAAATAAAAACAAAGAGCTCCTACGTTAGTACTTTCTCTAAAGTAGGAGTGAAAAAATGAAAATATAACAAATTAGAAGTTTCATATTTTTATTCATAAAATATGAATTAAATACATTTACATTACCAAGTATGACCATGTATATTACAACAAATGCCTATGTAGAGTGTCATATTATCACAATGCCAACTCATATTTAGAGAATAAAAACATGGAACTCATATCATATTTTAGTATTTTCTCTATGTTTTATTTCTTTAAACATGATTAAAAACAAAAGGATAATGGGCCGCATAAGGAAAAATGAAATAATCCCTCCGTCCCAGAGTATTTGTTCACTTTCATTTTTACACACCATCCAATGCACTTCTTTAATCCATTTTATCTTGTAATTTGTATATTAAAAAATTATAAAAATTATATATTGATAATCTATATGTTAAGACAAATCAAACAAGATCACACATGACTATATTTATGCTTACACAATGAGAAAATTTGATGAGTCAAAGTGCTTAGATAAACAGTTTCAAAAGTCAAAAGTGGACAAAAACTGGGGGATGGAGGGAGTACATAGGAAGTTAATAACTCCATGTACAATAAAAAATATTTTTTTAAAATAAAATACTTTATACAAAGTAAAAGAAAAAAGAATAGAAAAATATAATAAAAAAGAAAAAGATAAAAAAACTATTTTTATTTCAAGTAAAATAAAATATACACAATAAAAAAATATGTGATTCACAAAAGAGTTTGTAAATGTCAAGCCCATTTTCATTTTAACTTTTTAGACAAGTTAAAATACCAAATAATCTAGTTTAGTAAATACATTAAAGATCAAATATTGGAGGTTGGAATTTAGTAAGAAAAATAAAAGCCCCTCTAGTTCCAAGAGTTAGGGCGCGTGTTGTTCCAAACATGAGGCTTCTTGTTCTTCTTCTCATTTGTGGGGGAGGACACTCTCCTTCAGCAAAAATGATGGGAAAGATGGAGATGAATGGTGACGTGAAAAGGAAAAACAGGGCAAAATTGGAGAGAAAGAAAGAATGTGGCGGGAGATAAAAAAACTTGAATTCCTATTTTTTTGGATTAGTATAATGTTTTAATCGTATTAGGAGTGATTTCTAAATCCTGAATGGTTTAGAGACAAGAGATAGAAGGCATGTGCAGATGTGCTACGGTGCAAGGGATAAGAAGTAGGTCAATAGACACGCACGATGCATGGTTAAAAAATGTTTTCTACCTTGCACACACTTTTATACAAAAGCATATCAAAGGCTTCATTCTTTAGTGTAAACAGCTATGGAAATATTATTTTTGTAATTTAGCTTCTTAATTACTCCCTCCGTCCCAAAAAGTCTTTCCTGTTTCATTTTTTGCGCATCTCATAAAATACTTCTATCACGCCTTGAATGCCAAAAAAACTTTCAAAATAACTTCTACCCACAACAAAGAAGAAATGTTGTAAATTTTAGACATTTTAGATGTCGGTAGAAGTATTTTATGGGATGCGCAAAAAATGAAACAGGAAAGACTTTTTGGGACGGAGGGAGTACATCTTTAGGGTCGAAGAAAAAAGAAAAATATGACTTAAGTAACTTGCATTTTAAAGAAAAGAAAAAATTAAAGAACTGTTTTAAAAAACAGAAGTAGGAAATCATGTATTCTTTCAGTCCCACTATATTTAATTGTCAAGTTTAATTTTATTTTTCCGAATCAAACAAGATGAATCTTGAACTTCAATTAAACAAAAAACTGTAATCTACTTCGTATATTAATCTAGAAATATTTTTATTATATTTATTTTGTTGAATTGTTTCAAAATGTTATTTTATTGTGCTAATATGTAATACTCCCTCCATCCCACTAAACATTACCCAATTTGATGTATTTTTGGTCAAACTGTTACACGTTTTGGCCATAAATTAAATAAAATCTAAATAATGAAATGTTATAAAAATTTGATATATCAAAACTAGATCCTAAGATGAATCCAATTATATTAAATATATATTGTAATTCAATGTACTTTTCTCATAATTTGTAGTCAAAATATGTAAATGTTTGACCAAGTAATATTCAAAATGGGTAATTTTTTGTAGGACGGAAGGATTATAAATTAAAAAAATTGAAGCTCAAAGGCGTGGTTGGTCTACATTGTATCTTCAATGCGGGCTCTAGTCCCGAACAAGCCGGCTAGGCAAACAGGCGAAGATTAAAAAAAAACTTTCATGAATATGAATATACTATGTATTTTGCAGTAGCAACATATCTCCGAGTCACTCTATGTATTTCGACACCAAGACATAAAGGTCTTGTTTGGAAATCGATTGTTGGTAGGTGGTTATTGGCTATTTGTGTTGACTCGTTTGAACGATTGGCTGAGTCAGCAGTTCTGACCAGCTGTTGATTTAAAAAAATGTTTGAAAAATTTAATTGTTCATAAATAGCAGTTGTAAATAAAATTATGTTTATAGACATTTCTCCATATGTTATAATTTATATGATTCAAAAAGTCTATAATTTATGTAAATAATTGCTTTATTTATTCAATGGTAAAGTGCATATAAGGTCTCTATATTTTTTTAAAGGTATATATATGTATGTGTGTGTGTGTGTGTGTATCCATGGAACTAGACTTCAGTTTATTTCCGTCCATATATACATAAAAATTTGTTCCTAATATGCAAAAATAACAATCATGAGAGCTAATGTAGCCTTGCCATCTTGACTAAGATTATGGACTGAAACGAAGATCAAATTGCAATTTCTGCATTATTTCCGAATAACACTTCGCTTTATTCACAAAGGACAAAGATGTCTCTACATAACACAGGGAATTATAAACTAGTACATAGTTTTCGTGTCACACTCAATGATTTTTCAGAAAGATGACATTTCTTGCATATTGAACAAACAGCCAGAAGGACCATCCTTAGGCAGCAGTGCTGCCCTCACAACATACTCGGCTCCTTGCGCCGCAGTTAAAGAACCAAGATTGAGGGTTATGTCAGTCTTGCAAAACCCGGGAGCTACAACATTGATGCGAAAGCTGGGATGTTTTTTCGCCAGAACCCTTGTGTAGGCATTCATACACGCTTTTGCAACGATGTAGGTTGAGAAATATTGTGGCCACCCATTGGCTTCTAGCAACCCTTCCTTGAAATCCTTCAGAAATTGCTTCCCCACTTCATCCACTCTCTCTTCTGAGAGGTTTTCAGCATCACTCAACAGCCCTTTTGCCCATTGGTTGGGTATGTTCTTCAACAGACCCAATCCCGATGAAACATTGACTATGGTTGCAGAATCAGATGACTGCAGCAGGGGAGCAAGTGCCTCGACCATTCCTTTTGCACCATAGTAGTTTGTTTTGAGGCATTGTTCGGCTAAGTCCAAATTCTGACTCACCATTTCATTCCAACGAACTTCCTTTCCATCTGGCTGCATCGAATGGACACATGACTTATGCACCATCAATCCCAAAAGAGAGTCATATTCAATAGAAAGAAACTGTACTGTGGAGTAGTTTTTAAGGAAATTTTCCAAAATAGAGTCACAAACAGGCTGCATATGAGAAGCTCAGTAACACCAACCTATACAATTAAAAACTGTATGTGGGATTGATGATTTCGTGATTTATCGCAGACCCATGGGGTCTAAGTTGCAACGACGGGGACAAGTACTTATATAAGGTCAAGGTCAGATATGTTAAAACACCAATTTTTCTAAATTTTATAAAAGATTTGGGTGTCAAAACGGTATGGTAATTATGTCCAGTAAATTGTTAATGCATCAACAAGACAATAAAGGAAGAAATTGATGGGTTATAATTTACCCAATCTCCACTGAGCTCAACACCTCTTCGAAAATTATCAGGTGTATATACTATTCCAGAAATGCCAGCATTGTTCACCTGCACAGGGTTTCAAAATAAAGATTCTTCATAGGTAATTCTTTTTCATAGGGTACTCCCAAGATTTATTTTTGGACACCTCCAAAAAGCCTCATATAATCAACTCCAATAAAGTTGGGTTGAAACTTATATTTTGGTCTAAGTATCCTTCTCCCTCAGGTGTGGGAATCAGTTTGTTCCCAACATTAGGAACACAAAAGAAGTTTGATATTCTAACACAAAGAATAAGAAACATAATAAATCCATCCCAAAGGAACAACAAGGGAAAAAAATTCAAATTAAAGTAGCTCACCAAAATATCCAGTTTTCCAAAATGGATTTTGACAAAATCAGCTAAATTAGCAACACTGTGAGGGTCTACCACATCAAGCTGATGGAAACCGAGTAAGTCGCCGGAGACGCCACAATCCTTAAGCTTTTGAAGAGCTTCAAGTCCCTTCTTTTCATCTCTCGCAGTTAGAACCACAAAAATCCCACTAGAAGCCAACTGCCTACAAACTTCAAACCCGATCCCTTTGTTTGATCCGGTGACAACCGCGTACCTGAGAAAACAGTGCTGCGCGTTCATAATTGAGAATTGAAATTAAAATAATCAAAGAAAGAGAATGAGAAAACCTCTTTGTTGTCGGAGTAAAGGAGCCTTGTGCCATCGTCACTTAGCAGAGGATGGTATTGTCGCAGCAGAACCTAATACGGAGTATAGAAATGATGACGATCCCTTCTCCCCTCAAAATCAGAGCACACGGCCTTTGTGTGAAATTTAAGAAGGCACAAATAAAGACGGCTCTCACCTTCCCAAAAAAAAGACTTTATTTAATATCCCTCCCCTTCCCAAAAAAATTATCATGGTTACTATTTTGGTTCTTTTTTAACATTACTTGTTTACTTCTTTTTATGTTATTAAATTCAAATTATTTTTTAATGATAAAAAATGAGATGCAATAGAATATAGAGATTATATTATTTAAAAGTACAGAACATCAATGTTTTACAAATTTCGAAAGACTTCTTTATATACTACATTATTTGTAGTCTTTGTGGGAATATTGTCTTCAATGCATATCAGAATCTCCAATCTACTACGATTAGTTACTCTTGAAACTGCAACATAGAGCTGTCCATGACTAAATACAGGTTTTCGTAACAGTAGTCCAACATGTTTCACAGATTGTCCCTGCTCTTGTTAATCGTCATTGCGTACGAAGTAACCACAGGGAATTATCTTCTTTGAAACTTGAAAGAAATTCTTGTATCGGACGGGGTTAATGATAGTCTTGGAATAACAACTTCTTCGCCCATGTGGCTTCCTAGTAATATTTTTCCTTGTATTGAGTGATTAACCAACCGGGTTACTATCAACCGTGTACCATTACATAAACTCATTGAATGGTCAATATTTCTCAACAACATAATAGGCGTGCCTACCTTCAGAGTTAATTCATGATTCGGTACACCAGAAGCACGAATCTTATTTAAGAATTCGGGAGAGTGTAGGTCACCAAAAAAACTTGAACTCCAATCCGAGTTCTCAACTTTATCAGAACTAAGGTATGTTCGAGTCTCGCTTCTTGGATTCATCGCTGTCATACATTCATTTATGGAATCGACGACATCCAATGAAAGTGTAACGCCCCGAAACCTGGCCCAAAAGAATTAATTAAATTTTTAGAGCAATTGATTACGAATTGGGCCCAAAAAGGGGTTAAAATTATAATTTGGATTTTAAGTCCAACTTTTATGTCATCTCGTAGGAAATATTTTTGTGATCGCGTCGGTTCAGACGGCTCGCGAATCGGAGTTATGGAACTCAAGTTATGACCATTTAATAAGGTATTTTGGGTCCGAAGCCCAATCCTTTTTGGAATGGGACCATTAAATAAACCTAAACCACACAAACCTTATCTTATCTTCTCCTTCTTCGATTCTACTCTCCGTCCGTTCCTTTTTCTTCTTCTTCTTCTTCTTCTTCTTCTCCTTCTTCTTCTTTCTTCTTCGCCGCCCAGCCGGTCGCAAGCCAGGTCCAGCCGCCGTCGCTCACCGCCGTGAGCCAGCCGCCGGTCGTCGCCGTCCAACTGGAGCAGCCAGCCGCCGGCGTCGCCGCTCATCGCCGCCGTCGATTGCAGCGCCGCCGCTGCTTTCTTTGCCAGTAGCCGCTGCCATCATCGCCGACGGGTGCAGCGCCGCCACGCCAAACGAAGGACGTCGCCAAACGCCAGACGCCGCTGTTTCGCCCTCGCCGGAATCGAGAGCCGCCGTCGCCCTTTGCACAGCGGCCACCCGCCGCTGTCGAGTGTAGCGCCGCCGTCGAGTGCAGCGCCGCCAGTCGCTGCTCATCGCCGTCGAACTGCCGCTCCGCCACTGTCGCCGGCGTCCGTCACCGTCTCCGCATCCGGCCGCTGCCCCGAGTTGATACCGCCGGCAGATTAACCTCCACGCCGGATTGATTGGTCGATTTCGTATTTTGACTCGACTTGACCGTTCGGTTGATTTCGTTGATTTGTCTTCCGTTCGAGCTATCGATTCGATTTCGACGTAATCCAGGTCCGTACTATGAAGTTAATAGCATTCAGAATAGATTTAATGGTTTGGATCGTTATATGTGTTTATGCTATAATTTGGCTAAATTGGTTAATTGAATTAAATTGATTGTTTGAATTGAATTGCTGAGGATTGTGAATTGACTGAACAGGTTTGACTTTGACTTGGGTTAGGTCATGTTTGACTTAGACTTTGACTGGATATTCTCTCGACGTAGGTTTAACCGAATGGTTAAATCCAAGACTTTAATGAATTAGTTAAGTTAATTAATTAATTCTAATCGGTGATTAAGGTCAATTGGTTTATTGTGTTGAACATAGAAACTGGCCATCGCTCGGGCGCCTGCAAGGCCTGGTCAGTGAGGTTAAGACGTGCGCACGAGGGTCTGCGATCTTGGGTTTGAGGCCATCGCCCGAGGAATCCTACCTCCACCGAATTGAGGCTATCTTCGGTATTACGGATTGAGGCTATCTCCGTCATAGGCAATAAATGTTAAGTGGTTTGACTTTGGTGAAAGTCTAAATTGGTTTGACCGGTGGTCAAAGAGTTAATGGGAAACCCGTAACACCTAAATCATTTTGAAAAGAAAGAAAATAAGTTGACTGTTGGTCAACCGTCTAAAGAACCGAATGTAAAGTTGAATTGATTTTTATTAAAAGGATAAACATACGCACGATCTTGATTGTTGAATTATTATGTTTATTCTTGTGCTACAATGGAGTACCACTCAGCGTCAATGCTGAGCGGATAGCGTTGTTTTCCTTTTTGCTGTCCGTAGGTGAACAGACAGATGAACCTAGAGCCGATCCCAGAGGGCATTGAGGAGGAGATGTACGATGGCGTGGCTGTCTCTTTATTCTGTTGATTATGCTTTATTTAATTAACTTTAATGCTTATTACGTTTTCGGGCAAGATCCCAAGTTGTTTGACTTTAAAAAGGCTTCCGCGTTATTTTAAATTACTCCGATGGATTTTTATATGTATTGATAGAACGTTTGTTTAAAATTGTTTTGAAAATGTCGCAAATTCGGATACCAATTCAGTGGCACACCGGTCCGCTGTCTCACGGGTTTGGGTCATGCGGGTTGGGGTGTTACATTTTGGTATCGGAGCATTTGGTTTTAAAATCGGTCTTTGGACCCTTTCAAAAAAAAAAATACAATGAATAATTCAGCCGCATCTGCATCTCACGTAACTCCTCTGCCCCGGGAAGGTAATAAGTATTTATAGCTTTATCTGTTATATGTTAAGATCTGAC